ACATACATACATACATACATATACACACACACACACACACATACAACTTAAAGAAAAATCTGAGACAGTCTAAGTGATATGATCAGCTACTTAGAATTCCTGGGTAATTCCTCAAAAAAAGGAGAGGAATCCCACTTAATGCATCATGAAAACCTGCAAGATAACACAGTGTTGAATTATTTACTTTACATATGGGATTGGTACAAAAATAGCATGCACATGGCTGCAGACTTTCTGCACTGCATATGGTCGGCTTTAAAAGAAAAAAGGTGTCAACATGCTTCTCTGTCACCTCACTATACAACGTGAAATCTTACCATCATCTCAGCTCGAAGATCCTGCAGGTTGAGATGGAAGAATGCTTTGGAGGTGATTTGTCCAAACGCCATTGATCACACTCATTTTTACATTACAGGTGCAATTATTAAAGCAGGAAAATATACGACCATCCAACACGATCAGTCTGTCACCTCCTTCCCTCTTGGCTCACCAGTCAAGCTCCCGTCAGAATCCCTCCCTCTAAAACTCTCACCATACGCACCACATCCAGCATTGCAAACACCGGGAGGAGAAAACACGCCCAAGATGCGTTAGGGGTTGAGAGATGGTCCCTGTCGTCGAGAACAGTTTCACTTAAGCACAAGCCAGAGCCAGAGTGTGTGAGTGTGTGAAGAAACAAGAAGGGGTGTATATTCCAGTGACACTGCGGTCAAAACGCTGCTCAGCAGCGCAGAGCGACAGCAGTATGAATCGCGACTCTGGAAGACATAAAATGCACACAATTGCTGTGAAGGGGGAGGGGGAATTCGGGGTGCCTAGTGAGAAAAAGGGGGGGAAGGGGCTGAGGTTAGCCTGTTGTGTGTCTGTGGGAGTGTGGCTATTGTTGAGGGGGGACATACTTGTCCTTCCTTTAAAAGGAGAGAAAAAAAGTAGCAGCAGATTCAGATGCTACTTTTCTCCCTGCAACATCATCACATTCACACATAACAGTAAAAATGATTTGCATCCAGAGGCAACAAATTAAGGATGCTGGGACTCGTTATAAACAATGAGTAGGAAGAATATGACTAAAGAAAAAAACAGAACTGTGTTTTCCCTTTGCAAAAACTAAAACAGTTTCCTAAATGAGAACTGGACGAAAGCAGAAACACTTTTTCTCCCGACACAGCTGTGTTGCAGGGACACTCTTCAAAGCAACACAATGTACTGTATGTAGGCTCTTATCTCTCCCAGCTCCGTTCCCTTCCAACTCCCTGCTCTCAGCAGCACAACTCTGGGAACCTTTTAACATATCTGAGTAAGCTGTCAGCAGCAATGCAGAAGCAGATCGCTGGATATTCAGCAATTTCAGTCGAAGCTTTGGGTGTGGCATCTTGGGAATGTTTGCAGATTTCTTAGAAACTTTTATACATGCAATTACTACTTTTCTTTTGCACCCTGGTTGCCATTGCAACAGCAGCTTTGAGTCAATAAAAGCATCAGGGCGAGCCTTGCAAGGTGCAGATTCTTCTCTCATCATTTTATTGTCCTGCTAAACAAAGAAAAAAAACGTTAAACTGAGCATAACATCCTGTGTTTGTCTTTCTATTTGTTTATTCGGAACCACCATTCAGTCTTGAGGCAATTTTGCTGAGACATCTTTGGAATGCAGCAATGCATTATGCATGGCCACTAACATAAAAGTGCCTGCACACGCCATTGTGCTGCTGATCTGGAGCCAGATGTTGCCATCTTTATGTTATTCCAGCCTGAGGGTGCTGGGGGTGCAACTTTTGGGTGTGGCATGGGGAGTTTTGTGGCTTTGAAATGCAAGTGGGGGGT